TAGGATTGACTGGTGGTATCTGCTCTGGCAAGAGCACAATAAGCAATTATCTTAAAGATAAAGGTTTTGAAACAATAGATTGTGATAAGATTGGGCATCAAGTTTACCAGCCTGAAGGTCCTGCATATCAGCTACTTATAGATGAGTTTGGTGAAGAGATTGTTGGCGAGGATGGCTCAATCAATAGAAGAGCATTGGGTGGAATTGTGTTTAGCGCTGAGAGTAAGATGAAAAGACTGAATGAAATTGTTTGGCCGTGTATTGCCAATGCTGTTAAGGCTGTTATTGAATCATCTTCATCTGAGTTGATTGTTGTTGAAGCGGCTGTTATGCTTGAAGCTGGTTGGCAAACTTTTGTTGACGAAGTTTGGGTTATGACTGTATCCCCAGATGAGGCTATAAAACGACTGTCAGAGCGTAATAAACTCTCAACAGAAGATGCAGAAAAACGCCTAAAATCTCAGATGACAAACACTGACAGATGTTCTCATGCTGACATAATAGTTTGCTCAGATTGGGAACAATCTGTTACTAGATCATTCATTGATAAAGCCTGGGAGGGATTGTCAGAAAGGATTGAGTATTACAAGATTTGTCAAAACAAAGATTCGATCGAGGAAAGATGGAATTTTATTGCAACAAAAGCATGTAACAGTTCCATTGATCCTAAATGGTTAACTGATATATTAAGGAGTGAAAAGAGTTTGTCTTTTCTTGAAGAAGCTTTAAATTCAGTAGATGAAACATTGGACCTATCAAAAGAAAAGAACGTTGTTCTTTACACAGCTTCATTCTTCTTAGCCACGACTTTACATGTGCAGAATTCCAGCATACGTGCATTCGAGGCAATGTTCAAAATGTTCAGCCAGGGTAATGATATCAAAAAAGAAATTGCTGATGAAGTTATGAGCAATTTGAAAATATCCTCAAACTTGCTCAAGAAGCCAGTATCTTGTACAGAATTCAATACGCTGTTCAGGGACATTTGGATGAAAGCAACATTATTCTGCCTTGACGAAGGTGATAAAAGGATTCTGCCGTCTTGTTTCACTACTGAAGAAATGAGTAATGAGCAGTCGGTGGCTGAATGTGAACTCATGTTGAGGCTGATTGAAGGGAATAAGTATATTTTCAAAACAGATTACTTTAGAAAAACTTACGAGTCCGCAGCTAGAGATAGGATTAAATCTGATCTAGAGAGACTTTCAAAAGATAACAATAGGGATATAATGGAGCGGGTCAGAGGTAATATTGGATATAATTTACAAGAGTATTGAGTTAAATTATTCACATTTTACTTAAAAAAAGCTTTAAGTTTATATTTTGTGTCGTGATTTACGAATTACGATCTCGAATGTTAAGATTATTTCGTGCCCTCCGAATTTATCATGGCTGCTGTTATGCCCGATTTGGTTGAATTTACATTTTACACCTTAATTTGATGTAATGTGACACTCAGATTTGGTAATTGATTTAGGTAATTTATCAGTTTGATCAGCTTATTTTTGTTTCGTTAGTAACCTTCATGAATAAAATGGCCCAAAAATGGGAACACCTCCATATTCATCTAGTCATTATTAATGTATTGTACAATGCATTGTCATAAAAGGAAGCGCAACTAGTTCACAGCACATTCACCAATAGCTGAATACTTATAATACCTTCCGGGAATTATATCCACTAAAACTGCGGGGACACCGAGGGCTGATAATTTGCTCATTTTTCCCGCAAGAGAAGCGAGGGTATTATCAGCCCAGACTCAGACTGGCTGGCGGCAAGTTTCAAAACAAATAACACTGGCGTTCTATATATTAGACACTATATTGTATGATGCGCACGTATCGGATTACACCCCTTCTGCAATCGGAACCGGAACGTATTATAAAATATAATACCTCCGCAACTTCGTGCCCGCAAATTCCCTCCAGCAAGCTGTCGGGAATTATAGCGCGCAGCACTCAGTGGCGGAGGTATTATAGTATTATAAGCCTACTAAATAACCAACTTTTGAAATGAGTATAAGAACTCAATACATTCCACAAGAATGAGCATGTATGTCGATCAGTCGATGAAGAGGTGTGTTCTCGATTGTTCCAGAACTTTCCAGGCTTCTGAAAGTTCTTTAGTTCAAGTGTAACTGATGCTGTTTAACCGGCCCACCCTTCAAAGCACATATAATCCCGTTCTTTTTACATACTATTCAATTTTCACAACTACTATTAAATACATTTATTGAGTATTATGTAATGAGATGGAAACGTTTTAAGCGGGTAAAAGCCATTCCAAACCTTTGCCCCATAACATGAAGGCCTCGTTTTAATTTGTATTGAAAAGCACTAATACCACAGCTACAGTGTAGTTCATGCATATTTAATTGTCATCTGATGCACTCTTGAAATACATACATAGTAACTTGGATTGGTTCCATGCATGAAACTTTAGACACTCTAGAATGTAGTGCATTATAATATCTCTATCCTGCAGCTGTAGAAGATACACTGCACGACACTTCTACTCCTCTACTGAGTAGACTTTGTATTATGTGCCAGGTAGGTATCATTAATCCAGATATTGTTAATTTGTCGGTCGATGATCCCCTGGAGAGTTACTGCATGTTATTCAGAACAAACCATCAGCAGAACACACAGGACATGTGTCTTGTGTATCAAAACAGCAACACTGTGCACGCTCCTGATCTTTCTCTGGATATAGTGGTGAGGCAATACTGAGAATCGATCTGATATATTATACTAAACCACGATTGTTTGACACGTGACAGAGATTTTAGGTTTTGATTGGTCATCAGCGGAAATTATTTGTAGAACACGGGTCATGTTTTGTGTTCAGATCATTGTAATGAACTGTTAATGTATTGTGTAGCTTCTTCAGAACTGGTAAGACTAACTTGATAGTATCTGTTATATTTGATAGTATCTATTAGTGCTTATCAGATGCATGGAACAGCTGTATCCACTGCAGCAATATTATGCATTATTCTGCTGTTTCTGTTTATGTTAGGCATCGATCACATAGGCCATGTTTTGGTGATTTTATACCACAGAAGAAATATCTTATTATATCGTACCGGGCTGCTATTATGAGAATTCTCTAGAATACCCGTATCATCGGAGAGAATAGAGATATTAGATTTATCATTTCTCAGTACAGTAAAACCCTCATTTACCGCAAACCCCGATTTACTGTGGCTTTTACCTTTCTCCCAAACAGGGTAAATCAGGGTATTACTGTATTAGATCCCTTAGGCTACATTATATTATAAGCGTGTGCAATAACATTTTATGAAGGCCCATTTAAGGAAATTATACTTAAACGCTTGTAGAATTCGGGGTAATCTACTGAATAAGGATACACAATACACATGAATATTGAATATACATATGTATAAATATTAAATATATATTATATAATATGTTCTTAATGGTGGACGACCAAATTTCAGGCAGACACAAATATGACAAAATCTTTTAAACCCACCTCTAAATTGTTTGGTAACCAAAGGTATCGAGTTTCTCTGCGGGGCCCTGAAGTAACCAAAGGTATCAAGTTTCTCTGTGGGCCCTGAAGTACCGATGCGTGTAGTTCCAGATCTTGATAGCAATTACCTGTACACCTGGGGTGCTGGGACCCTGAAATTATATTACTCACTCAGCTGGATATAGAGTAGTTTCTACACTGTGTCTTGGGGATATCTACTAGAGTAGTTAGTAGTTAGACTAGGATATTGTGTGGTATGTGTGATATGTAGGGTTAGTTGGAGGGGTTTTTGTTTCTAAATGAAAAGTTTCTATTTGGTAAGTGTCTGGGGTTATAGTGTTTAACAAGATGGACACGGTCTTTGTGGATATCTTGTAGTACATGAAGACAAGTTTCGTGTTCTAGAGTGTACACTGTACACTGTACACTGTACACTGTACACTGTACACTGTACACTGTACACTGTACACTGTACAGTACACGCTTTATGTTGTGTAGTGCTTTAAGGTGGGTGTGAGGGTATGCGACGTGACCTCATGTATTTTAAACGCAAGTTTTTAACTGATATTTTTAGTGTCTTAGTTGTAAACTGTTAAGGTGTTTCAAAGTGTATTATTGGTGACTACAATATCTTTACTGTGTTGTTACATTGTGAGTGCTGCTGAAAAGTATGGATGTACAGCTAGTAATGATATCTATTAGGCAAACAAAGGAATTGTCTTCAAATGTAAGGAGATTTCAACCTGTGGGTGTTGTCTTTTGTGTCCAACTTGAGGAATTATTTAACACCTGTTTTTGTGCCTGTCTGTAACTACTTGATCCAGCTCGAGTCGTTCATTTTCCTTTGTCATAAAGTTTTTGACATTTGTGTGACACTGGTGTGACACTGGTGTGACACTGTTGTGACACTGTTGTGACACTGGTGTGAAATGTTTGTAATACCTGTTTTTGTACCTGTTTTTGTACCTGTTTGCACTTGATCCAGCTCGAGTCGTTTATTTTCTTTTGTCATAAATACCACAAAATGCATAATTTTGTCATGATAGCGTGTATTGCGTATTGTCCAAGAAGTATTGAAAATTATACTGTCTTATTTTAATAAATCAATCGTATTATGTTCCTGGACAAAAGATCAATAGGTATTACAATCATAACATTCATAATGCGCACATATTATCTTGTTAATACTGTGTAGTGTCTCGAACATCAGGAAAATCTGGATAGTATGCTCAACTAGATATTTAAAGTGGATTAATTAAATAGCTGTGGATAGAGAACTGGATCGGAAAATAGAATTAAATGTAAACGAAGTTACATTCCATCAAGATCATACACTTTGCTCATATCTTCACAGCAATACAACTTGAGTTTTGATACCTATTAATTGAATTGCTAATGCCCAAATAACCAAAATCTGTTATTATATAAAGCTGAAGTGACGCTTCAATTTATCAATTAACCAATTACTAAATATGCTAATTAACGGGATTAACTAATTAAACAAGGCAAGGATGACGAATGTATATGACATGTCACCCGACGCCTCCGATGACGAGGATTTCCAGACCTTGGCTATAGAAGAGTTTGAACCCTTCAAAGACCTGCAAACTCTGTTGAACCGTCCCGCCCATCTCAGCATCTTCCTTAACTATGCTATCGGAGAGAACAGACCTAACAATTTAGTACGTTTTTTGTGTTAAATTATCACGATTTACCGTGTCCTGATGGTAAAGGGATTTTCTTGCTTCCCCTTGAAAGTTCGCTTCCAATTTAAATCCATAGAACCTGCAAAACGCGCACGGAAAACTGCTTTTAAATACCAAAATAGTTTTCCAGTAAATGCCAAAATTTTGTAGCTTGTTCTGTATCAAAATTTAGACATAAATTTGTATAGAAAATAGAAATTAGAGAAGCCAGCCTTTTGAGTGTAAGAGTTGTAAAGATTAATCGATCACTGGCAGCCAATTTAACGAACTATTTAGTTGGTTAAATTGTTGGTTAACTTGGTTTAAAGTTATCAGGTTCTATAGAAATACATTATATATTTGCATGACGCAATTCGAGCAGTGGGATTAGCTTCATGAGCTTGTATCACGGTTCAAAGTTGGCAGAAAATTTATTGGATTCATGAGTTGAGCTGCAAAGATGCTATATTTGCAATAATCACTAATACTCGCTGACTGCAAGTATTATGAAGGAGTAACCAGGTGTAGATGTGGCACGTTAACGTATTCTGTAACAAAATGCAACAAATTACTACGAATGTAGCAGCAGCTCATGCCAAATAGTAATACCTCAACACCCTTAAATATGTTCATTTTGCATATTTGCGATTTTAGTTATAATCCACGATGCGTGATATTTTAGGACCATATTATCAAGTTTTGACGACGAGTTTCAGGTTTTGAGATTTCGAATGAGATTTGAATTAAGATTTTTAATTATTCATTTATAAAACGTCAAAGTCAGTGCTCTATAAATCCTGATAAGCATAACACCTAGATAGCTAGAGCATTTGGAAAGGTGTTAATAAATCCTTAAGCACGCAATAAATTATATAATTTATTTATTTTAATGAAAATGAAAACTTCTCAGTTGTTCATACTGTGCGTCCATCACTACCAACGACAAGAGAAGTACAAGGATATAAGGAGGGCTGCTAGTGGAATATTTGAAGACTTTCTAAATCCCAGCGCAGTAAGTTGTTTTAACTTGTTAATAACTTAATTAAGTTAAGTTATTAACTTAAGCTTAAGGGTTTTACATTATTATTTTGGCCAGTTGGTAGATCACCGACCGGCTATAAGCCGGCTACTAACCGGCTATAAGCCGGCTTATAGCCGGCTACAATTTTTATAGCCGGCTATAAGCCGGCTTATAGCCGGTTAGTAGCCGCTTACATTTGTTGTTGAGCGACGGCTATTAGCCGGTTATAAGCCTGCTATTAGCCGTTTTGGTATTAAAAGTGGTTATAAGCCGGCTATAAGCCGGTTATAAGATATTAACTCAACTACATCGTACTGAACAATAGTCAGGAGCCGGCTATAAGAAATTCAGTGAAAACGGCTATTAGCCGGTTATAAGCCGGCTATTAGCCGTTTAGGTATCGAAAGTGGTTATAAGCCGGCTATAAGCCGGTTAGGGAAATTGGTAGATCACCGACCGGCTATAAGCCGGTTATAAGCCGGCTATTAGCCGTTTAGGTATCGAAAGTGGTTATAAGCCGGCTTTAAGCCGGTTATAAGCCGGTTATAAGATATTAACTCAGTTCAGTACGATGAAGTTAAGTTAATATTTTATAGCCGGCTTATAGCCGGCTTATAACCACTTTCGATACCTAAACGGCTAATAGCCGGCTTATAACCGGCTAATAGCCGTTTTCGCTGAATTTCTTATAGCCGGCTCCTGACTATCGTTCAGTACGATGAAGTTGAGTTAATATCTTATAACCGGCTTATAGCCGGCTTATAACCACTTTCGATACCTAAACGGCTAATAGCCGGCTTATAACCGGCTAATAGCCGGCTTATAACCGGCTAATAGCCGTTTTCACTGAATTTCTTATAGCCGATACCTAAACGGCTAATAGCCGGCTTATAACCGGCTAATAGCCGGCTATAAAAATTGTAGCCGGCTATAAGCCGGTTTATAGCCGGCTTATAACCGGCTTATAGCCGGTCGGTGATCTACCAATTTCCCCATTTTGCTAGATTAAAACTGTCAAATATGTGAGCTGGTTCAATACTGTTACACCAGAATATTTATACATATCCATTATATCCAATGAATTTTTGCGGATGACTTGACACATTATGTTGCCAAGAAAGTTGCTGACATGAATGATAATTATTAAGGCTTAACGAAACGTTTGAAAATTCGGCACTTTAAAATCTCTTTGTAAGATCCTGCCGGCGTTAATCAACGTTAATTAATTTTAATCAACGTTAATGACACAGTGAAAGGAAAGTATAACGACCATATCAACAAACTTACTAAATAATCGGATAATCTTATTAAATCAGTGAAAGTAAATTATTCTTTATTACAGGTACTACGTGTATCGTTCCCCCCTGAGATTCTCACGGAAATAAGTTTGGGTGAGTGTTAAATAACAAAAAATAAAATTAAGTTTTTGTACAGCACAATGTGAGTGTAAAAATGAAAATTGATATTATAAAGGAGTCTGTACTTTGTAATACTTTGTAAAAGAGATTGATTAGATTTTATTAAACAAATAACGAATTTGATTTATTTTGATTTTATTCTATTCCAGATTATTATAATATGGGTAAGCTTGTTGTGTGGATTTTTGAGTTTATTCTACTTTTTAGTTTTTAATCCTAAGTTAAATTAATTAGTTTTACTTTTGGTTACTGGTTAGTCTGCTGAGTGTTGTGTGAATATATTATAGATTCTAATTTCCAAAATTTAATTAATAAACTTAAGATTGAACATGACGTATGTAACATGACGTATGTAACATGACGTATGTAACATGACGTATGTAACATGACGTATGTAACATGTGTAATGTAACATGTGTAATGTTACATGTGTAATATAACACAAAGTAAACTGCCATTCTCCTGAACTGAGAAGTGAGAACCAGGTCTCAGATTTACACTGCTGCAGTGTCACCAACCATAACATTGCTTCTTCTCGTAGCAGACTTAACCACCCGAGAGCTAGACTTCACAATAGCAGATATATCACTTGGTAGTACTCAGCAAGTGTCACCGACTACTGGGTAGCAATCAGGAATTACTGTCACCTAGAAAATCAGGGTAAAGTTCAGAACTAGTGCGCACAAAACCAGATTATATAATACGTATCACTGTTTACTTCTCCTACTGCCTACTTCTACTACTGCCCAGTCGGGAGTAATCAGTAGTAATCAGGAAGTGTCACCGACTACTGGGTTGTAGCGAGAAAGTGTCATTAAGGAATTAGGGTAAACTGACTAAACTCACACACAAAACCAGACATATCACGGGTTGTAGTCTTTGCAGGGTACTAATCAGGTAGTGTCACGTGGTACAGATCAGGAAGTCACGTGGTACTAAAAAGAAGTGTCACGTGTCAGTGATCGAGGGAGCAAGGTTCAAACTCAGAGAGTTGTGTTAACAAGATGCTATTAACCACTGTGTTACTTACTGGACATTTACTTGCGATAGACAATGTATCTTACTGTTAACTAGTGCAGTTATAGTGCAGTTATAGTGCAGTTATAGTGCAGTTATAGTGCAGTTATAGTGCAGTTAAATTGTGTCTCTGAAGGAGGGGAGATTAGATAGGAGGACACAGGACAAGGATATACCAGAATATATATATCTGTAAATAAATACTTTAACAGAAATACAGGATCTATTTCAGACGGTAATTGCTCGGTTTAAGCTTTGTAAGTGGAACGGCGTCACGGCACTGCACCTATCATATCCTACTCATTGCAAAGATTCACCATACATACTACAAATCGGTATTATGGAGACCCAGCGAGAAAGTAAAACCAGGGTTTTCTATTAAGTTGTACGTGGTGTAGAATTAGAATGCAGCATATCAGCTACATACCAGTAACATACCAGCTACATACCGACTACATATCAACTACATACCAGTAACATATCAGCTACATGCCAGTTACATACTAGCTACATACCAGTAACATACCAGTAACATACCAGCTACATACTGACTACATATCAACTACATACCAGTAACATATCAGCTACATGCCAGTAACATACCAGTAACATATATCAGCTACATACTGACTACATATCAACTACATACCAGTAACATATCAGCTACATGCCAGTAACATACCAGTAACATATATCAGCTACATACCAGCTACATGCCAGTAACATGTAACTAGTTACATACCAACTACATACCAACTACATACCAACTACATACCAACTACGTTATAACACAATTAGTCCGTCTCCACTATTGGCCTGCTTTGTGTACAAGTTTTCTCTGAGGCAAGGTAGGGTTTATATTGGATACAAGGTGAAGAAACCTGTCAACTAGTACAAGTTTTGGGGAATTCGAGGAATCCTGAGGGTTTTAGAAGCTTGTGCTTCTAAAACCCTCAGGATATAAAGCTAAAGGCTCTTCATTGGATTCAATATCCTGTGACAGAATTACAAAAGTTTTAGTGTGTGCGGCTGTTACGTAGATTGGTTTAGGTCATGTTTATATTAGGTTATTATAGAGGAGGAATTACTGTTGCAGAGGAGGGAAATTGACTTGTCAACTGATAGAGTTTTAAAAACCCTTCACGGAAAGACTGAAGCTTCCAGAACTTAAAATGACATTATATTCCAGATATATTAGGTTCAACAGAAGCACGGGAACAATTTAAAACTTTCAAACGGAGCTTTAAATTCTTATAAATGGTCGCTTGTCTCCTGTCTAAAAGCTCCTCACACCAGATACCCAGAATGAAACCCCTGTTCGCTATTTATGACTTTCAAAATATACTCCTTACTCCTGACAGTTCTAATTTGTCCCATGACATGTTCAACGCATTTTATAATATAATAATAGTGGGACGAGACTGGACTGTATATTGAGACAATTTCAAATGTGTCAAATGCAGCTTTGATCTCCACAAATTATATTGAAATGAAGCTTCCATCTTCATTTTGATAGCACGCAGTAGCCTTAATACGCTGACACTCCTAGATGTAACACATAATTTAAGATTATGTTCTAGAAAATGCTGATGAGAGTAAATCAGTTCGCTACATAAAAGTGTGTTTCATTCCCCGATTATACCTGTTAAAACTTGAAAATACAGACGACTAACGAGTCTCTGTAGTGTCTGGACAAAGAAAAGGACAGGGTGTGCCGATCTCCGGATCTGTCTCCACACCCGGAGCTGTCTTTCCTCTCCACACCCGGAGCTGTCTTTCCTCTCCACACCCGGATCTGTCTCCACACCCGGAGCTGTCTCTCCTCTCCACACCCGGAGCTGTCTTTCCTCTCCACACCCGGATCTGTCTCCACACCCGGATCTGTCTCCACACCCGGATCTGTCTCTCCTCTCCACACCCGGATCTGTCTCTCCTCTCCACACCCGGATCTGTCTCCACACCCGGATCTGTCTCTCCTCTCCACACCCGGATCTGTCTCTCCTCTCCACACCCGGAGCTGTCTCTCCTCTCCACACCCGGAGCTGTCTTCCTCTCCACACCCGGAGCTGTCTCTCCTCTCCACACCCGGATCTGTCTCTCCTCTCCACACCCGGATCTGTCTCCACACCCGGATCTGTCTCTCCTCTCCACACCCGGATCTGTCTCTCCTCTCCACACCCGGAGCTGTCTTTCCTCTCCACACCCGGATCTGTCTCTCCTCTCCACACCCGGATCTGTCTCTCCTCTCCACACCCGGATCTGTCTCCACACCCGGATCTGTCTCCACACCCGGATCTGTCTCTCCTCTCCACACCCGGATCTGTCTCTCCTCTCCACACCCGGAGCTGTCTCTCTGGAACTTAGCATTGACTTTAATTTCCGTGTCATTGTTTCAACTGCAAGTGTGCGACTTCACGAAACAAATACCAGGTTTCCGGGGATATTGCAGTGCTTCACAGTCATTTTAAGTTGTTGGAAGTGTTCACTATTTTCAGATCGCTGTACAATAAAGTCTGATTAATCTTTGACAAGTTAAAAAGGGAGGGGTAATCTTTTGTTGAACAGCTGAACTATAGTGATACCTGCTAACTGAGAAACATGGCAGATCTTATAGTACCCTATTTTCTGCCCTGAGAAAGGGGTCAAGTTACTCTGTACCAGTCAAATTAAGGGACCGAGGTAGTTAGAGTCAACCAAGTCACGTACAGTCAGGAGATGATTGAACTTGAAGTGTGGAGTTGACAGTTCTGTCATTTTAAATTAGCCCCTGAAATAGGTCGGAAGGAGCAGAAGGGATCGGATGGAGAGGGTGTTATTTTCAGGAGCAGAAGGGATGGAGAGGGTGTTATTTTCAGGAACAGAAGGGAGGGAGAGGGTGTTATTTTCAGGAACAGAAGGGAGGGAGAGGGTGTTATTTTCAGGAACAGAAGGGAGGGAGAGGGTGTTATTTTCAGGAGCAGAAGGGAGGGAGAGGGTGTTATTTTCAGGAGCAGAAGGGATGGAGAGGGTGTTATTTTCAGGATTAGAAGGGAGGGAGAGGGTGTTATTTTCAGGAACAGAAGGGAGGGAGAGGGTGTTATTTTCAGGAGCAGAAGGGAGGGAGAGGGTGTTATTTTCAGGAGCAGAAGGGAGGGAGAGGGTGTTATTTTCAGGAGCAGAAGGGAGGGAGAGGGTGTTATTTTCAGGAGCAGAAGGGAGGGAGAGGGTGTTATTTTCAGGAACAGAAGGGAGGGAGAGGGTGTTATTTTCAGGAACAGAAGGGATGGAGAGGGTGTTATTTTCAGGAACAGAAGGGAGGGAGAGGGTGTTATTTTCAGGAACAGAAGGGAGGGAGAGGGTGTTATTTTCAGGAACAGAAGGGAGGGAGAGGGTGTTATTTTCAGGAGCAGAAGGGAGGGAGAGGGTGTTATTTTCAGGAGCAGAAGGGATGGAGAGGGTGTTATTTTCAGGATCAGAAGGGAGGGAGAGGGTGTTATTTTCAGGAGCAGAAGGGAGGGAGAGGGTGTTATTTTCAGGAGCAGAAGGGAGGGAGAGGGTGTTATTTTCAGGAGCAGAAGGGATGGAGAGGGTGTTATTTTCAGGAGCAGAAGGGAGGGAGAGGGTGTTATTTTCAGGAGCAGAAGGGAGGGAGAGGGTGTTATTTTCAGGAGCAGAAGGGAGGGAGAGGGTATTATTTTCAGGAGCAGAAGGGATGGAGAGGGTGTTATTTTTAGGAGCAGAAGGGAGGGAGAGGGTGTTATTTTCAGGAACAGAAGGGAGGGAGAGGATGTTATTTTCTGGAGCAGAAGGGAGGGAGAGGGTGTTATTTTGCAGGATTAGAAGGGAGGGAGAGGGTGTTATTTTCAGGAGCAGAAGGGAGGGAGAGGGTGTTCTTTTCAGGAGCAGAAGGGAGGGAGAGGGTGTTATTTTCAGGAGCAGAAGGGATGGAGAGGGTGTTATTTTCAGGAGCAGAAGGGAGGGAGAGGGTGTTATTTTCAGGAGCAGAAGGGATGGAGAGGGTATTATTTTCAGGAGCAGAAGGGAGGGAGAGGGTGTTATTTTCAGGAGCAGAAGGGAGGGAGAGGGTGTTATTTTCAGGAGCAGAAGGGAGGGAGAGGATGTTATTTTCTGGAGCAGAAGGGAGGGAGAGGGTGTTTTTTTGCAGGATTAGAAGGGAGGGAGAGGGTGTTATTTTCAGGAGCAGAAGGGAGGGAGAGGATGTTATTTTCAGGAGCAGAAGGGAGGGAGAGGTTGTTATTTTCAGGAGCAGAAGGGAGGGAGAGGGTGTTATTTTCAGGAGCAGAAGGGAGGGAGAGGGTGTTATTTTCAGTGATGTCAGGAGAGTACTTGATCTGACAACACTACGATTAAGGAGAAAGATAGTGGCGTTAATGTTCACTTAGAGCGACCTTGAAGCTCTATGATATTTAACACTCAATTAGCACTGTAAGATACTGTGTACTAATGTATACCACATGTGGTACAATTAGTGAGTCTACAAGTGTGATGGTTCAAGATATCAAGCACCAGAGAGTTTCTGGTTTCTTGTCTGAGTTTGGGATGTTTCCAGACTTTTAAGGAGTGTGCCGGTTAAACTGGTAGCGAGCCAGGGATTGGGTGATTGATACAATTAGTGCTCTCTAAACTCCCCTTGTTTCTGCAGTAGATATTATGGTATCATTCTGTATCAAGATCACTAAATGCAACCATTTTCTGGTTTCTTGTGAACAATTGTCTGAATTTGGGAGGTTTCCAGACTTCCAGACAGTGTAATGGTTATGATTATATCTAATAACTCTCAATTATTATTATTATTTATTATTACTAATTATTACTAATTATTACTAATTATTACTAATTATTACTAATTATTACTAATTATGTATACAACAAGTGCTCACTGCTCGCAGACAGACTACCTTAGCTCCTTCAGTGCCCAAGCTCGTTAGATATCAGTGTTTTCTGGTGTGTCTTGTCTGATGTTACGAGGTTTCCAAAGAACGTAAGAGTGCGCTGCCTCCCTAATTACCGCGTAATGGAGCAGACGTTAAGTTAAAAGAAATTAGCACAGTTGCAGTAGTTCTACTAATCTACTAAAGTGCTATGTGGCTGCTGCAACTTGATAACTTCTCATCTCAAAGTCAACATGACGTGCTTTCTGTATCAATATCGTGTTATGCTCATTAATATGTTTTTAGCATGTCTTGTCTGATGCTACGAGGTTTATAAATAATGTTTACAAAAAATAGATCTTTATTACAGTGAAATAATGTCAGATCAGCGTTGCTAAAGAGTCATAGTCCGAAATCCAAGTAGAAAATCCGTTACCATCAAGGTGTTTAAACCAAGAGAAATAATGTAAGGGTAAGCTGCCTCATATAATAACTGGTCAGTGGTAACTGTGTAAAGAGGGATAATATAAATGCTGCTAGTGTTACGTTGCAGCTTGCAGACATGAGATATTGGAGTTAAAATGAGGTAGTTAAACGTTTTTAAAAGCTCTGTGCCAAGCATATAAAATGCTGTATTTAATGTCCGAGAGTTTCTAGTTTTTATATGCGAAGTTAAGAAGTTTTCAAGGTTCCTGATAGTTTAATGGTTGAATGATTACCATGTAACACGTGATCTATCATTAAAAAAGAAATGTGACCCATTTGTTCGCTCCAAAGACTGAAAGTTGTTTATAAATGTGGCCAAAAGGGACATCTGCCCCTCCCCCCGCTTCGAGCAGTCTGAGGATCTCCTAGCTCGACATTTAAATACAACTTGCACCTCCCTCTCATGGTTATAACTGTCTTCTCTTCAGAAAATAGCTGGTTTTCTACGCCTCATTTTTGTCGGCACGTCCTGACGTGTATAACAGGATGCATGTCCGATAATTATATAGCAGGTTTGCTTAGGTTTACGTCAGATGTATTGAAAGGCAGCGGCGAATTCAAGTTTGATCTTTACACAGTTTTTAATAAGTGAGCAATATACTTGCACCAGTGCTTAGCTGCGTAGTCTCTGCGTCTCTACATCAGGGGAAGTTTCCACATAAATTGAAAATCGTGAAAGTAATTCCACTTCACAAAGGTGGGTCACGTGCTGAAGTTTCAAACTATCAACTTATCTCACTACTCTCATGTTTCTCAAAAATCTTTGAAAAAATTATGCAAGCGCGACTATTAGATCACAGACAGAGAAAATCCAAGGCCTTTGACATGGTTGACAGCAGTATTCTTTTAAGAAAACTTGAGCACTATGGAGTTCGGGGGTTGGCTTTATCTTGGTTTGACTCATATCTTACCGATCGAGAGCGATACGTGAGCGTCAACAACTGCAACTGCAAGTCCTCTCACCTTTTAAAACTTAGAAAATATTTCTACATAAAAAATGATCACACAATTATTTCAGTATAAATACTGATCCTCAAATCTCCAATTCATTCGTGGCTACTACCTCGGTAAATAATCTTGGTACAACTAATACACGAGGGGGAACCTTGTCCTGTAAAACTTGGCCACAATTCAACTCATCAAATCAAATCATATCACACGCTTTTACTGCGGGTAAAAACTCGTTTACCTCTTCAAGGAAGTGTGGGTAAATGTAGGTAATGGTAGGTAAAGGTAGGTAATAGTGAATAATAGTTTCGTGGGTCTTAGTGGGTAATAGCGAGTAATAGTTTCGTGGGTAATAGTGATCAGTGTGGCGGTGAATTATCTAACATTTTGGATTCAAGAAGAATATTGGATGTTCAATCATTCAATTTACCTTTGATTATGGCTACATACTATGATTGGTTACTGAATATGATAGTTAACGTTACCGGGGTGTGTAGTGTGTAGTAGTGTACTATGCTATGTGTAGTGCTAGAATAAATTAATGTTTTGTTTCATCCTACTTGGTAGAAATTGGTGAAATGAAAATTGCGTACGTGCACGCAAAATTGCTACAATAACCCGTGTTTCCTACTTTTCCGTGTTATGTGTCTGATCCCAATACACGCGGACAGAGATCTGATCTGAAGTAGGGTGCAACTGATTAAAGTGCTGGCATGAAGCCAGGTGGTATTGATTAAAGAGCCGACTATAAAGCTGGTAACTCTGGCAATTTGTTACTGACGTAATCCGTCCAACCTTTCCTTTATTTCCATATTAACCTGTCTGGCCATCCCTTTATTTCCATGGTAAAATAAATAATTGTTAAAATATCAAACAAAATATTCGTTGGTACCTTTCCGTTTATTTTATGGTTATTTTAATAGATTGTTTTAAAGTTCGGCTATACTGTCCCTTTCTAAGCTAATGAGACGAAAATAAATACTCTAAGCCTGTCAAATTCTAAAATTCTCTCGTATTTTCGCTCATGAATTTGAAACATACCAATGTCTCTAAAGTGGTTGTCTTGGATTTATTTATATATTATTATATAAACAATATGTAATATATAAATGCTTTCTGGCATTTAAACGATATATCAGTTAAAGGATCAATATTTCGTCTACATCATGACATACGATCAACAAATACTTCTAGAAACTTTATATTGGTTAGAACCTTAGTGACGACGTCATGTTGCCATGCATTATTATTGTCCCCACTATATTCTTTAATTGGAGATCAAATAGAGTTCAAGATCAAATACAAGCTCTCATATTCTATGTGTCCTGTCTGGATCTATCTTAGATCTCGATTGAAAACTTTAAGACGTAATAATGATCCTTTGATGGCATACCGGTTTGAAACATAGGGTATTCTTACATTTTAACTCAGTTGTAAAGAGCTTCAAGTATTGATTTCTATAACAACGGCCCCAACGTTAATGTGGCTCCAGCTATGTGTTGGTTCAGCCGAATTAATTATTATATAGTAAAATTTATTTTCTAGTTTAGTTAGTTGTCATCCAGCCACACAGTATGCAACTTATATTGTAATACCATTTTGTCCATTATCTTATCAAAAATTGTCAGTGTAATCTTGCATGGCTGAAATTTAACGCTTGATTCTCATACTTAATAAATAATTGAATTTTCAAATACAAAATATAACGTAATAACACAGACTCTCTACTTCAGGACTTCACAGGGAGAAGGACCCTTTAAAGCTGCAGAACATCTACAATAAAGCTCTGTGAGTAAAGTTCTTGTTATTAGTTACTGTAATCGGTTAGTTAACTTTAATGTATGATTATAAGTACAGTTAGTATTCATAATTAGTTACAATAATAATAGTGCCTTGGATTTACTTGAGCTAATTAGATAAATAATTGTTGCATTTTTAATCAGTATTATTTATCATTTGACATCAACTATGCAGTTTGCAATTATTATTATCGTGGTGTCAATAGACACTGTTGTTTCAAATCACGGGAAAATTCGCCGTCTTCTATTCTCTTGCGTATTTTAAATACAGATCACACGCCAATGTGACAATTTGGCATCTTCGACTTTTTATATCACACGTTCAAACGCATCGAAATAGCATTCCAACATGCCCGTTTCATCGGAATACGGTGCATGGAATGTGCTAAACGATAATTGGATTAATCAGTTAATTAATCGAATTAATTAGTCGTGTTATCCCAGTTAATTAGTGTCGTTATTCAGGCAACTAGCAACGAAGCAGGTCAATGTGATGATAAACGAGTTTAAGAATAGGCTGGACATGGGCCTGGGGAATGCGTACAATGTGCAGGCTCTTAGTGGTGAGTAAAGTAATTAAGTAATTAGTAATGAAATAATTAAGTTATTTAATAATTAGGTAAAGTATTGGAGTGTGTAGATTTGTCTCAAAATTTAGTGTTTACCTTGTTCATCTATTTGGAGCCCATGTAGGCTTCTAATCTTGCGACACAATTTTCGAATAAAGTGGTTAATAACACCCGAGTAATACTGCAAGTGGTAGGTATGTAGTGGTAGGTATGTAGTGGTAGGTATGTAGTGGTAGGTATGTAGTTTAGGTATGTAGTGGTAGGTATGTAGTTTAGGTATGTAGTGGTAGGTATGTAGTTTAGGTATGTATAATGTAGGTATGTAGTGGTAGGTATGTAGTTTAGGTATGTATAATGTACTAGGTATGTAGTGGTAGGTATGTAGTTTAGGTATGTATAATGTAGGTATGTAGTGGTAGGTATGTAGTTTAGGTATGTATAATGTAGGTATGTAGTGGTAGGTATGTAGTTTAGGTATGTATAATGTAGGTATGTAGTGGTAGGTATGTAGTTTAGGTATGTATAATGTAGGTATGTAGTGGTAGGTATGTAGTTTAGGTATGTATAATGTAGGTATGTAGTGGTAGGTATGTAGTTTAGGTATGTATAATGTAGGTATGTAGTGGTAGGTATGTAGTTTAGGTATGTATAATGTAGGTATGTAGTGGTAGGTATGTAGTTTAGGTATGTATAATGTAGGTATGTAGTGGTAGGTATGTAGTTTAATACTAATGTGGCCGTCAGAGATAAACTCAGTCACAATCTCTCCAACCTGACAGTTATATTTTTCTGTCTGCACAAAATGTTACAAAGTTAAGTTTAACACTTTTAGCAATGAGCTTTAAATGGGTTCTTATTTACAACCATGAATTTTAAACTTCCAATCAGCAGACCCACACGTTACAATCGTGCCTTTATTCATGTTAAAACGTTTCAAAGTAACAGTTATCTCGCCACATCTTGCTACATCTTGCTATATAACTTGCTACATCTTGCTACATAACTTGCTACACTGTAAGAGAGAATCTCTCTAAAATGCGCGTCAAATCCGTCAGTCTCTGTGCCAAACCATTACGAATGGTAAAGCTGTAAAGTTAGTCTGACATATTAACAGATTTAAGATCTTGACTAAATCGTATCGTGTGTCAAATTTATAGCTTGAATATTCCCCATAATCCAGGACCATATTTAATATTTTAGATACCAATACTAACTGTATAGTGTATATATCCTGATATTTTAATTACATTACTGCTTTACTGGCATTACAAATTCTATTTAATCTATACTGGTAAAGATGTAAAATTACTCTTACACAATCCAGCGCCAAATCATCTCAGCTACAAAGTTTTAATAATTGAGCCAAGCTGTCTGCAAACCTGCATATATGCAGAATGTATAAATAATAACTGATACTACTACTATACTACTACTATATGTTATCAGAATACTGGTTACAGGGGTATATTTAGCTATCATTTCCGATCAGATCTAGACTAAGGATGGTCTGTAATTTAGAGAGTAGAGAGTATAGAACTGTAATTATATAATTATAGACCAATTATCTGTGGTTATCTATGTAGACAGCATTTTGTGTGCTCTATAATAAGATAAGTTGACAGTAAAAGATCGGTAAAATAATAGAAATTGGAACGGAAATATGTTGGAATTTGGCGGAACTCGCAACTTTTACCAATTATTGATCTTTAGAAACATCAGTATGTGTTTTCTTTGACCAATTACTGCTCAATTATCTAATTACTATGTAGACACAGCTTCCCGCGCGAGCTTGTGACTGTTTAGCCGCCCTGAATAAGAAGGTAACAGAGCGAGGCAGTATTGAGTATTACATAGTAAAACTGTAAAACACAATGGCGTGTGTGTGTAATAGAACACTGTGTAAATGGTTAGCTTGAGGTTTGAAATGATTATCTGATGATAACATTACCTTATATGGTAGCGTTGCAATAGTAACACTACCTTATAAGGTAATGTTATCCTCTTTGTAGAGTCTTACTCACACACTGTGTAACTATTTAAGTGTAACACTGTAACAATCATTGTAAAGTTCGTATAGCTCTGTTACATTTTCTACTACTCTTGGTATTATTGTACTACAAATATCTGTTCCAACTAAACAGCTGAGTATGTGATGGCGATATTATTGAACTCCTCAGCTCACACTATAAATACATTATTTACTGTTTATGCTAATGTTAGTAATATTATAAGATGTAATATGTACAATGTAACACAGTTCTGGCAGACTTACCATACAGATTACAGTTTATCAAGTATCTAATCAACTGATAGCGGGCCGGCTGCAGCACTCTTGTTGTCGGAACCTATCTACAGTAACAACTATCTGTTTGGTCTACTGAGAAACCTATTTTGGTAGATCCATTGGCACTCAACAACTATGATGACATAGTATCTTGCTGTCCTGCATTGTCAAAGTTTTTGTCATCTAATCAACTCTATTTCTTAATACAAGTACACTGGTCATCAAATTATTTTTTACATATTGACTAAATTTCTATCCTAACTATAATCAGAGTTATAGCAGATTGTTTATTAAACACACCAATCACAACAAAACATATCATGATGTCGCTCTAAAAATGTCTGCACGTGCAAGTGCGCGTTCCAACACCATTACTATGCGACTAACTATTTCTAGAAAATTCGCACCTGGGCGGTCGTATGGACAGACAGAAAGAAATCTCCGAATATTGTTTGTTTTGAAACCCCACGGTGGAGGTTGGCGTGTGCCGCAATTTATTAATCAATGGTTATTACATAAATGAAATTATAGAAGTCACACTAAAATATAATAATGTAAAATATAATATATTAAAATAAATGCCCTACTAAAAGTACTATATAAGTATAACTAACGGTCTGCAAAACTAATTGAAGTCGCAATTTGTAAACATGCTAATTACTATTTAGTAATAATAGATAAAAAGTTTTGCGCGGCAGATGTAAATTCGGCAATATAAATGGCAGTGAAATTAAAATGATATGTTGTTGATAAGAGATCATAGTCATTTGTCGCGAGTGATCTTTCTTTACGCGTTGTCGCTTACTTATAACTCGGTGCTGTAGTCTATTTGCGACCGCCCTTCTCTTTGAGACTTTCTTAGCCCAGGTATACTATAAAGTAAGAAATTTGGCCAATTTTCATCGTCTCCTGAGCTTTGCAGCTTGAGGAGTTCGCGCTTAGCTGAATTTTTAAAGATTTCAATTGAAAAGGTAGAACTTGGAATAGTTATATCCTTACTTTGTTTTGTAATAGAGAGCATGGGTCCTTTGAAGAAAAGAGTATTTCTAAATGTTGGGCCGTTGTAAGTTGTGAACCAAGAAAGGTTATGTTCGTATGTGGAATTATAGGTGGGAATATCGTGAGGGAAAAGTTCTTTAATGGATTTAGGGAGAAGGCTTGGCATGTTCCTTACTTTGTGTAGTAGAATAAGAGCGTTTTTTACAATGACGCTATGGACTGTTAGGATATTATGCAATCTAAACGCACTTTTTGTGTGCTCCGGGGGATTGCCGTCTTTATATCTATAATTTACATATCCTGACATAACAGCTCTAATTCCCTGCTTTTGCTTGGTGAACAGAGATTCAATGTGACATTTTGAGGCAAATCCCCACACTAAAGAACAGAAATTTAGATGGGATTGGATAAGGCTTTGGAAAATGTTTAGGCGGGCTTTGATAGGTAGAAGGTGCTTTAGCTTATACATAACTCCGAGGTAGCGACCCATCTTTATTCTAACTGCCATAATGTGTTTTTTCCAAGTGAGATTTTCGTCTAGGATCACTCCTAAAAATCTTGCTTCAGTCTTACGTTCGATTACAGTGTTGTCAATGGACAAATTAAAGCCGCTGAAGTCGATTCTTTTTCTAGTGAAAATCATGTAACACGTCTTTTTTACATTTAAAGATAGCCCATTAGCACCTACCCAATCTACAAGACGTGAAATTAGCTGATTAGCTTTTAATTGTATTTCTTCTAGGGTGGTTCCACTAATTAATATGTTTGCGTCGTCGGCATAAAGGATGAACTTTGCAAAATCACTAATTCCAGGTAGGTCGTTTATATAAATTACAAATAAGAGAGGTCCTAGAATGCTACCCTGAGGAACGCCGTAAACTATGGGCATGCTAGAAGAGCAAGTTCCGTTTAAAGTTACGTATTGAGATCGATTACAAAGGTAAGATCTAAACCATTCGTGCGCGACTCCCCTGATCCCATAATGATCAAGCTTCTTAAGCAAGGTCTCATGATCAAGCACGTCAAAGGCTTTACTGTAATCGAGCAGGAGCAGTAGGGAAATTTGTTTCTTATTCAGAGAGTGTAGTATAGAATTTTGGGCATTGAGCAGTGCATGTTCGCACGATCTTCCTGGCCGAAATCCGTATTGATTTTCGAAAAGAGAATCGTTCTTATCTAAAAATTCTAAAACACGAGCATGCATAAGTTTCTCATAAATTTTCGAGAATGATCCCAAAAGAGAGATCGGCCTATAATTAGCTACTTCCAATTTTGAACCACCTTTGTGGATAGGAACGACTTTCGCAGTTTTTAGAGCATTTGGGAAGGTACCACTGGAGAACGAACAGTTAATGACATTAGCTAGTGCCCTGGTAAAGTTTTCGCAGCTGTTTGCAATTTTCAATGGCTCAATTTTACAATCGAGTGTGGACTTGTTCTTAAGCCCTGATATTATCTTTTGGACTTCACCGTGTGATGTAGGCTTAAGAAACATCGAGTTACTACACGAAGCCTTAAGAAAATGCTTGAAACCACCTGGGTCAAAGGTTCGACGGGCAGCGATTTGCCTCTTGATACTGGCTGCAATACCGGAGAAGTAGCCGTTAAATTTCTCAGCGACTGCCAGATCAGAGCTTATAATCGTGCCATCGTCGTCCTTCAGACGGGTGTGTCCGAACTTTTTTCTGTTACGGTTCAGGAGGCCATTGAT